TCACCCTGGGGGTCAAATGGGGGTCGAAATATGACGTTTTTTATGCAAAAAACCCCTGGTTCCCAGAACTCCTCTTACATTTTACACAGTAGCCTAATCGTCTTTTGGGAGATGGTTGGTGGTGTCATGTTGATGTGCAGTAAGGTTTCGGAATTTTCATTTTCAAGTTTTTGATGCAGTGGAAGAGCTCTCACTAATACATATCAGCATATTACTATTAGGTTTGATAAAAATATCTTGAATGATTTATTTAAAACTGAGCTTAACACTTATTTGAGAAAAGAGAGGTCAAGGTCAACGGAAAGGTTGAGGTCAAAATGTTGATGCAGTTGAAAAACTTATATCAGTATGTATTTACTATTAGCATAGAAGTTCAACAAAAATATCAGAAATGGTTTATTTAAAATGTAGATAAGGCCAAATAAAAAAATATGTGTGGTTCGGGTTACCCGACCTTCCCTATTTTATACCCCCGACCCTAAACTTTTTTTTGGCAATTTTCATATTTTTCCGGAATTTCCCCCAATTTCCATCAATGGCTCCAGTTTAAGTTTTAGTTTCAGCAATGATGGCCTCCTTGCAAAACATAGTGCAAGTGTTTAATAGTGTTAAATCCAAAGCAAGCTAGCATGTAGGTGTCCCCTACCAATATTGACTAGTATATTATCACACCACATCTAAATGCCATTTGCAAAGCAGTGATAGGTACTATTTAGAAAAAAAATTAAGAAAATCATTTTGTTTAAAAAAAAAAAAATTAGAAAAAATAAAAAAAAAAATAAAAATCCCTACCTACCTACCCTAATTTTTTTGGAAGTGTAACCGGAACCACACATATTTTTTTGTTTGGCCTAAACACTAATTTAAAAAAGTGAGGTCAAGGTCAAAGGAAAAGTCAAGGTCAAAAAAGTTGATGCAATTGATATCTCTCAGCAGTATAATTATATCAGCATATGAAGTTTGATAAATATATCTTGAATTGTTTATTCAAAACTGATCTAGACACTAATTTAAGAAAAGTAAGGTCAAGGTCAAAGGAAAATTCAAGGTCAAAAATTTTGATGCAGTTGAAAAACTTACATCAGTATGTATCAGCATATGACGTTTTATTGAAGTCGGACATGACAAACACTATATGCCTCGGCCATATTCATGGCAGGGCATAAAAAACTTGAATCTACACTATATGAGGATGTTTCCATATCAAAATGACTAACAAGCAAATTCAAAGAATTGTGGTCCCCTGCTTTCCGTGTCCTAGTGGATGGGATGCCATTATTTATGACATATTGTTTCAAATATGCACGCCCTATCATATGTCATTCAAAAGTAATCACCAAAGTTAAAATTTTTGAAAATTAGGTAAAACATCAAGGTCAAGGGGTAAAAAATCATAGCATGCTTGGAAACATATTGTTACAGGTAATGTACATGTCAAATATAAAAGTCCTATCTCTTCTCAATCAAAAGTTATAAGGAAATATAACATATTTGAAAAGTAGGTTAAACTTCAAGGTCAATGTCACAGAGTCAAAAGTCATGATATATTTAGAAAGGTCTTGTCACAGGTAATATACATGTATAATATGAACGCCCTATCTTTTCTCTTTCAAAATGATCATTTGAAATAATGTTAAATTTTTTGAAAAGTAGGTCAAACTTCAAGGTCAAGGTCATGGGTTCAAAAATCATGGTATGTTTAGAAAGTTCTTGTAGGTAATGTACATGTGAAATATGAAATCCCTATCTCTTATTATTCAGAAGTTATGACCAAGGTTAAATTTATTGTGACAGACGGACAGACTGACAGACTGACAGACAAATGAGATTTAATGTCCCCTAGGTCCCTTTTGTGAAAACGGACGACAATAATGCCCTTGCTATTCATGAGAAGAAGATTTATGATGGAAAAAATCCCCTGCATTTTTCTATGTAAATCATTGGATCCCCATATGTGGCCCCATCCTACCCCAGTGGGTCATAATTTTAACAAATTTGAAGCTACACTGTCTATGTAAAGAAAATTTCAACTTTTTGGGCCCAGTCAGTGGTTCTTGATAAGACTTTTTTAAAATGATACCACCAAATTTTCACTAATTCTTGATTATCCCCCCTTGAAAGAGGGTGTGACCCTTCACTTGAACAAACTTGAATCCCCTTTACCCAAAGATGCTTTGTGGCTGGGTTGGTTGAAATTGGCCCGGCGGTTCTAGTGAAGAAGACAAAAATGTGAAAAGTTTACAGGCGGACAGATGAATGACAAACAAAATGTGATCAGAAAACCAGAAAAACTCAAGTGAGCTAAAAACTGATGATCACAAGTACTTGGAAAGAGTTACAGTATTTGAAAAGCAGTTTTTTTTTCATGCATTAATTGTTTTCAGAAGCTGAAAAGGTATGACTTGTATCCATGTTGAAAAAACTTCACATTTCAGAAAACAGTATGATTAAAAATAGTTAATCAAGGTGCTTTGAGTAGCAAAATAAGCTAAACTGGTATTGCTAATTCAACCACAGAGCTTAGTGAATTTTAAAATGCACAACCTTTTCAACTCTTAATCATTCTTAAAATATTTATATCATCATTTCTGATTCAAGGGAGAACTAGAGATATGATCAGAAGTATATCCGTTAACTAATAAACATGTACATGTATATTGTGTTTTTTAAGTCATTAATGTTTGTTTGTTGTTAAATGTCCCTCTTGGGAATTTTTCACTCATACGGAGACACCACCACTTAAAAATAATGAAGACGTACAAGTCGGATTTAAGGTTAACATTCATTTTAGAAATTTTCAACAATTAATTAAGACGTAAAGAGATAACTCCTTCCCCTTGCCCCTTCCCCTTCCCAGACCCCAGTTTGTTCATGTATGCAAACTAGTCTAATACTTTGGTTTGACATAAAAAAAAATGTGAATACATACAAATAGTTTAATGGTCCATCTCTTTGAATGATTTTCATTCCTAATTCTAGGTTGACCCAAATTCATGAATGAAATGTCAAGTAATCTTATCATTGATGCACTTTTATTTAATTTGATGTAGTCATATTATGAACAAGAGAGTGGGGATGACCTCAAGGGTTCATAACCTTAAACCATTAGATGTACATAACATAATAACACAAGAAACAAAATTATGTCTAGTCAAATGGAAAAATTTTCTACTATTTAGGAGTCGCATGATCATTTGTCATTTCAGGGACAGGGAGCGGCTAGGGAGATTGGAAACCCCCCCCCCCCCCCCCCCCTGGAATTTGCAGAGTTATTTAAATAGGACTATATACTGATTTACAGAAGCAAATAAAAAATGACTTTGGATGCCCTCCCCCTTTAAAAACATGGACCCCACCATCATTGTTTTTATTTTGTTTGTTTGTTTGTTTGTTTTTTATTTTGCTCCTCAGGAAATTCTGGGCTGGAATTTTTTTGGACCGAGGTGTGGACCCCCCTCCCCCCCCCCCCGGAAAAAAATTCCCGGATCTATGCCTGTAACTGAATGTAATGTCGACAACGGGAGATAACTCTTCAGAATGTGAAATTCGTCTATTGTGGCATCGATGATCCACTCTCTACGATCGGCTCATACATTCAGTGTCTGAGAGAGAAACGAACGACAACTCTGCATAGGAGATTGCCGATGATCTTTGATCCTTTTTAAACTTTAACCTAACCATTTGCATTTTGGTTTATTTTACCCCAATCTATACTTAAACTTGTACTTACCGACTGTCATAGGTCCTGTCAACTTCATGAAATATAATCCAATTAAAACACAAAATGAATTAATTTCCACTGATATACATGTAACACTGCACCATGTCACATGGCATGTGCAATCTAAAAATGATAATGGTAAAACTAGTACTAGTACTGGTAGGGTGACGCAAGCCCAATGTGATGTAGAAATTTTCAAAAAGGTGTTCACATACATGTACAGTACAAGAACAAATTTTAAATTATCATAACAAACGATGTTTTAACATAACTTTGCCATCTAGGCCTATTTCCAAAAACAGGCAAATTGTGTGTGTGTGTATTGGGGGGGGGGGGGGGGGGACACATATAAATTGATTGGGTATGGCTTTTCAAGGAGGTTTTTGCCTAATCAAATACTAAAAAAAGTTTGCACATTTTGATAAATTCATCAAAAACGCTTTGTACTAAAATAATATTATTTGTTGTTGAGAAGATAAATTCAATTTAAAAAGTTCCAATTATAGGCCAAAAATTTATATCCCCCCCCCTTTTTATTAAAACCTAATTTACAACATTAATTAAATTCTGATATTTCAGACTGGTAATGAATTAAGTATATGAAATGCGTATAAGAGGTTCATGGGTCACATGGTCACCTGAGCATTTTATGCTCGATTTGACGAATACATGTACTGTGTAAATTATAGAATTATTTGGACTTTTTCCTTGGTAAGCCCAATATGAAGGAGTGTGCATTTAGAGGCAAACACCTTAGTGCGGGTATTACTGTCTCATGACAGCATCTAGTTGATACTTATTTTCTTTCAGATTCAATTTTTTTAAAATTGAAAGACTATAATAATCTATCAGATGCATATCTGATTCTTTCTGTTAAAAGAAGTTTCGTTGGAAAGGAGGAATAAATAAAGAAAATGTATGGTTGGCCTGGGCATTGAGCCTGGGACCCCTGTATCCGTAGTCAGGTGCCCTAACCACTGAGTACCCAGGCTGATATCCACCGTCCATGTAGCCCAAACCACTACATTTCTCCCTCCTTAAACATTTTTTGACCTTGAAGACACACATTAACAAAAATTCACCTTGTCAGGAACATGTGTACCAATTTACATATAACCTGAACAAGGCCCCCCAAACTGGCCACCAAATGTAGTAGGAAACAGGAGGAATGAATAAAGAAAATATATGACTGGGCCCCTGTATCACTAGTCAGATGCTCTAACCACTGAGCTACTTGTCCACATCGCCCAAACTATTACAGAAGACTAATATCCAGATATTGTCCACATCACCCAAACTATTACAGAAGACTGATATCCAGATATTGTCCACATCGCCCAAACTATTACAGAAGACTGATATCCAGATATTGTCCTCATCACTCAAACTATTACAGAAAACTGATATTGTCCACATCACCCAAACTATTACAGAAGACTGATATCCAGATATTGCCCACATCGCCCAAACTATTACAGAAGTCTGATATCCAGATATTGTCACATTGCCCAAACTATTACAGAAGACTGATATCCAGATATTGCCCACATCGCCCAAACTATTACAGAAGTCTGATATCCAGATATCGTCACATTGCCCAAACTATTACAGAAGTCTGATATCCAGATATTGTCACATTGCCCAAACTATTACAGAAGACTGATATCCAGATATTGTCCACATTGCCCAAACTATTACAGCAGTCTGATACCCAGATTTTGTCCATATTGCCCAAACTATTACAGCAGTCTGATATCCAGATATTGTCCACATCGCCCAAACTATTACAGAAGACTGATATCCAGATATTGTCACATTGCCCAAACTATTACAGAAGACTGATATCCAGATATTGTCCACATTGCCCAAACTATTACAGAAGTCTGATACCCAATTTTTGTCCATATTGTCCAAACTATTACAGCAGTCTGATACCCAGATATTGTCCACATTGCCCAAACTATTACAGCAGTCTGATATCCAGATAATGTCCATATTGTCCAAACTATTACAGCAGTCTGATACCCAGATTTTGTCCATATTGCCCAAACTATTACAGAAGTCTGATATCCAGATTTTGTCCATATTGCCCAAACTATTACAGAAGTCTGATATCCAGATTTTGTCCATATTGCCCAAACTATTACAGAAGACTGATATCCAGATATTGTCCACATCACCCAAACTATTACAGAAGTCTGATATCCAGATAATGTCCATATTGCCCAAACTATTACAGAAGTCTGATATCCAGATATTGTCCACATCGCCCAAACTATTACAGAAGACTGATATCCAGATATTGTCACATTGCCCAAACTATTACAGAAGACTGATATCCAGATATTGTCCACATTGCCCAAGCTATTACAGCAGTCTGATACCCAGATTTTGTCCATATTGTCCAAACTATTACAGCAGTCTGATACCCAGATATTGTCCACATTGCCCAAACTATTACAGCAGTCTGATATCCAGATAATGTCCATATTGTCCAAACTATTACAGCAGTCTGAGACCCAGATTTTGTCCATATTGCCCAAACTATTACAGAAGTCTGATATCCAGATATTGTCCACATCACCCAAACTATTACAGAAGTCTGATATCCAGATTTTGTCCATATTGCCCAAACTATTACAGAAGACTGATATCCAGATAATGTCCATATTGCCCAAACTTCTAAAGAAGTCTAACAATCTTTATGCGTTATCCTCCTCTGAATAGAAGTCTGACAATTTGGGATCATGTATGATACATGAGTGAATCATGTCTTCATGGAAAGTAAGCCAATGAAGTCAGTACATTATAACTTACTATCTTTAAAATCTTGTCCTCAAGACCATGGTTAACTTTCTGAATTCTTTTGTGGCTTTCAAAAAGTCTGAAAATAAAAAGTCAAAATGAAGACCTATGATACCAGATTTATCAATTCAATAATAATTTGGATCAATAAAAAAAATCTTCCTTTGCATAAGTGATGCACTGAGCTAGTTCTGATTAACATATATATGACCTTTTGTCATCTTTAATCTTTCACCTCCATTTTATTTTCACCATCATCACAAGTGGGTGAATTCAAAGAACACTGATTTATTTCTTTAATAAGTGTGTTTGGATAAGTTTAAAATGGGGTTCAATCATTTGCAAGTGGGATAGGGTGAAAATAGCCCTTTATACAGTATTACTCTGTTATACAGATAAAACTCAATGATATAAAAAATAAAATTCTATGTACAATGTTTATGATATTAGCCAAAGTCATGACTGACCTGTTACACAAAGTTAAAGCTTTACTCTCACATTATTCAAAGTTCGGACTGACCTGTCATATCTGTCACGTAATTTATTAAGTTCCTCTCGGAGTTTGTGCACCTCATAGTCAGCAAGCTGTTTGTTGTCCATTAACTCTCGGCCGATCTTTGAAACATGCTCATTACTTTTACGTAACTCACTTTCAAGTTCCACAATCTTCTGATGCAGGTCCAAACTATCAAATGCAGAAATTATAAACAATTTCAAAAAACAGTTTCTCCAGAACTATCATTTTTACCCATCTAATTTTCAGGGATAATAATACATGACAAAGACAGAAAAAACAATGGAATTCACTGTAGAAATACACAGGGCAAAAATATAAGCAAGGTATAAACATTTCCCTGAGTGTATGTGGCAATATTTGACTATAATTATTTTAACATGCAGGATTACCTGGACTGATCCATGCATCCGGTACAAGGACATCCACACTCCTAGATGAAAGGAAAGAAGTATACATGTACTAAGACAAGAGGTGTCTCTCAGTGTTAAATAATGTAACTATTATTACTATATGTTTGTATGTTCTAAACTACATACATAAAATGAAATAATTAGAACACAGGCACCTGAAGTTACTTATTTTTCTTTTGATAAAAAAAATATACCCCCTACCTAGTAATAGGTAGGGGGTATATATTTTTTTTTTAAAAGAAGAAACGTCAGGTGCCTGTGAATTAGAAGGTCAACTCTACAAATATCAATATGCACATTACTATTAGAGCTTTCAGTAACATATAAATTGTAACAGCCTCCTGACCAGCAGTGACAAACTTATCTCTGATTACTATGTGTGATCTGCTTCATGAAGTCCACTTATTCTATGGCAGTACATAAACAGATCTGAAGATGTTGAATGTATTACTGAATATCATAAACCCCACATTTTCATGTTGGATTGATAAAAATACTCGTAGTTTGTGTTTATAATTTCAATTTTGTATTATTTCATCAAAGTTTTTGTACAATGTACATGATCTGAATTTTATAGCTACTGTATAAAGTAACTGTAAACATGACATTTAGCATGAAAAAATTAAATAAATAAAAAAAATTTAAACTAGTGCTATAATTGTAATGGGAATTGTTTCTGATGTCTTCCATACAGCTCTCCCACTCTCTTAAGGTGCTCATCCCTATAAGCTTCGTTTAATAAGCCAGTTCAAAAATAGTTTAAATCTACACTTTATTTTGTGAGGTATTTTCTCAGAAAACAATGCCAAGTTAATAAAGGCTTATGAGAATTAGCCAATCACAGATTTCAGAACATGTGCATGCATATGTACCTATGTATTAAATTTCAAAGATTTTAAGATATTGATCTAAAGACATTTAATATTAACAAATCAGCAGAGTTCGACATTCACACACGTCACCTCTTCATTTCCTACCCTGAAGTGATTTTGGGTAAATTTACTATTAACCTAGTTCACCCATATGGTGACCTGGTCATGAGTTCGGGTTCTCAATATTATTTGTATACATTTAATCTGAGATCAAGTGAAAATATTAGTTGTCCGGTTTACATTTTAATATACAAGACCATCACATCCGGTTAAAACATCATATGAGCCTTTCTGCCAGCAGTTGAAGAAACCGGGACTTTCTATATGAGGATGGAAATATGTTTTCTTGCTATTGAAGAGGGTCACCATGGTTAATGTCATTTGAATTGACTCCATCACGAAATACAAAAATTAAGAATGCCACCAACACTCAAATGTTATTAAATCCAATAAATCAAACAAAATAGGAAATTAAAAAGTCAAACATTCAAGCAACACAAGTTTACTTGCTAATTTCCAAATTTTTTTTATTACCCTGACCTTTCTGGAAATGATGCAAGAAAATAGAGAGTAAATTTCAAAACTGTATGAAATTGAAATTGTACATTTGAAATTTCTTTTTGTTTGGGCAACCTGAAACTATAGGGATGGGTATTGCTAGAAATTTTGTATTGCAATATATCACATTTTTTTTCAAAAAAATATCATTTTTAAACACAATTTTACTGTGATTCCAAATAAATTTCCAAAATTTTTCTAACAAAACTTTACTTTTTCATTTTTATTTATATATTAATAATTAAAGCAGGCTTGGATGCTAGCATGCTGTTATTATATTTTACCGTTTTACAACAATTTTTTTAAAGTTTGGGTAATTGTAATTCAAAAGTTTAACCAAAAAATTAATTACATACTATATACTGGTAATCTAGTCTCCCTATCACAATACATATTTTGAAATAAAAATCACAATATACTACATAGTATACCGATAAAATCCAGCATCCCTGGGCAACCTGAGATCAGTGACCTAGATTGCCCAAATGACAAGACCAGCTTATGACAAGTGTCAAACTCTGAATCAGAATTAAGCAGTGTGCATGCACCTCCTTCCACTCAATCCTTACAGTATCATTATGTAGGATCTCTTTTTACTTAACTATATTCTAAATTTCATTCCATTTTGTTGAAAACTAAGAAACTTATAGCCATTTAAAGTTTCAGCCAATCAAATTTCACTGCATGTGCTAATCCGAGATTCCTCTGACTCTAACCCCTGCTTTTATATTTTGACATGTGCAGGGGAGAGTCAGAGTGGAGGCCATATTGAAAAATGGGAATTCAGCGACACCAGCTGGTGTCCCGACCTGTCTACCTTTTACAACTTTATTTCGCAGATCTAACTTCCAAGATGCGAGGACTCAGTAAAGGGATGATTCTTCTACAACTTAATCATCACTAATACGATGCTATCACCATTTAAATGGCCCTATCACCGACAAAAGAAGCATTACTTGAATTAGGTCGCCTCCTCACCATTCAATTTTTTGCGCATGACGTCAGCCATCCTCGCAAACCAGGGGTCCTGAGTCAACACGTTGCCATTTGACCCCTGGCATATTTCATTCAATATTCGTGGGCTTGCTTCTCTCATTCAGAAGCACCAATCAAATTAAAGCTTTCATAAATAGTTTGATAAGGATTCAGTTGACACCTCAAATGCACGTGTTACAAGTTGTTTATCAAAGAATGGCTTAATGTGAATGGTTGAGAAATACGAAAACAATCAAGATTTGTAAATTTTCCGAAAGACATCGCTACAGTCAGCCCAGAAATATTGAATGAAATATGCCAGGGGTCCAACAGCAACGTGTTGACTCAGGACCCCTGGCTTGCGAGGATGGACGTCAGCACACAAATACACAAACAAACTATCACATGAACAAATTATGTGTGGTGATGCTGCCAATTTTTTTTCTTATATGAGCATAGAGGCCACTTTCAACAGTTGTTTTCCTTATCAGTATATAAATGTAACATCATTCTGTTGTTTTCTGTGCTTTTTCACCCTCACGTTTTTGCGAAAACTCCACACATGTTTTGACCACATGATAGTTTGAAACTGATTGGAATTTTGTTCCAAATCAGAACAAAATTCAGACAAGTACCAGAGAAATAAAAAATAAGAAGAAGAAGATGAAACAGAGTAAAGACATTAAAATAAACATAAAAAAATAATTTTTGTCTCTGTTGTACCTGACAAACTTTTGCATTCTGTTGAAACATGCCCGGTGGTTGTCGTTTGAACATTGTATACAATGTCGCAATTATCCTCTATATATAGACCTAGAATAATTAAAGCAGAGTATTGAATATGAACAGTAACCACGTAACAGGATTTACTTTATGAAGAGAGGAAATTCGAGACAGCATAAGCAGCTTTATAACGTGGCTGTTGAACTTAAAAGCAGTGTACGATATTCAACATACCTCTACATGACGATGTTGTTTATTCATAATTACACGGAAACAGCTAACACATGTGACAAACTTTTCTTTTACGGTTTACAGGCCAATATTATCCTTACGGTAGGCTTACGTCAAAACATGACAGCTGCCACAACACAACATCCGGTTTGGAACTCTCTAGGCAGTGGAGGGAAAATTTAGATTTGGAAGAAAGTTACAAAACTTTTTCAGAGAATATGACTGTGACAAGTTGTGAAAAGCCGATAATTGTTAAATTAATTGCAAGTTGTAAACAAATAGGAAACAGTTGTAATAATACGCATCTTTTCTTGTGAGAGATCAGCAGTGATTTATTCCAAACTTTGGGCCAAAGCTCAAGAATATTTCAATCAACTAGGCTTCTGTAAGCAGGTTCGGTACAATCTCTGGATGAAGCTATATAGCTTTAAAAAGCTATTTTAAAATAAGCTTTATTAAATATTTAGATACAGTTAAAAGCTATGCATGTTATATAAAGTAAATATAACGTGGCAATGATCTGACCATGCAGGTCCAGCACAATCTCTTGATTTAGCTATATAGCTTGATTTAGCTATATAGCTGTATTAAGCTATTCAAAATAGCTTGATTTAGCTATTTTACCGTACTTTTTTCTCAAATGTGTTATTTTCTCAGCAGGTACAAAAAGTCGCACCTTGTTGCAGTGATAATATTCAACTTTGAACTATTCTGAAAATAAAACGTAAAAATCACTCATCAAACTGCGTCTCCTATAGAGACTTTGTACTCAAAGTTCTGGGCTATATAAAGCAATTGAAACAGTTACTTCTTCAATGAAATTATAAAGGAGGCCAGTTATTATTCAACAAGATAATTGACTGGTAATAATTCAATACAATGAGAAGCAATCATACTTATCCATGCCTCAACGCACACAAGGTAGTCTACAGTTACTCAAACAATGGAAATTCATCTTTAGCTTAAAAGTATTCAAAAGCTGCAATGTTAGAACTATCTTTCATTTCGGTTGTTGTTTTCATAGCCCATAGTAATATATGCATATAGTCAAATATTTGTGACTTTTTGTTTATTTCTTACAAAAAAAGTTTTTGTGAAAAAATGCATAGGAATAGCTTTATCAAGCTATTTTGAATAGCTTAATAAAGCTATAAAGCTATTTCAAGCTATATAGCTAAATCAAGAGATTGTGCTGGACCTGCTGACTATGCTGTTTGTAGCATAAGCGAAGTACAGAAGTTATTAGAATAATTAGGCTTCTGGCCATTGCAAATTAACCTTCATCAATAGTCACAATAACTTTTGCAGGACAAATTGATGTAGTTTGGTTAAGTATGATAAAAGTTGTGTAAAGTCATATAACCAGTCTAGACAAACTCCAAAAACAGCATTTCCGGAAGTAAGAAATTGAGACCGAAAAAGACTCTGAAAATACAGTCCGCGCATGCGCACACACACAAAAAATGGCGATTTTTCAGCAAAAATAATGGGTGTACAAAAACTGTCCCTGCAAAGTTTTGGAAAGTATGGCAATTATGCCAATACTCAGAAATGCTAAATAAAAGACTTCGTATTTGTCAGATTTTTTATTTTATTTGCAAAAAGGAGATATTTACTTTCAAAGTTGACGTTTGAAGTCAGATCAATTACAGAGAAAATGATACGTTTGAGAAGTAAATATGCATAATAAAAGGGATATATTTGCAAAATGGGACATTAATATATATTGTAACTGTTGAAAACTTGACTGAATTTTACACATAAATTAGCATTTTTTTTTATTTGTGTATGACATCTGAATTGGATGCATAAGTTCTTACAATCATTATTTACCGATTTTTTTTTATCACATTCAAACAGATATTATTATGAAAACATTGTTAAAACTATCTATCAATATGAAAACTTTAAAAACCACTCTTCTAGAAATTAAGGTCACAAAATATCTTCTAAAATTGAACCTGTGAATATCTCTGCTCCGTGGTGAAAAATATGCATTTTCTGATTACAATAAATTCAAGCTGGGCGTCTTCAAAAGCAAATAAAAGCACATTTATTTTAGGAACGACTTTAAATTTAAATCAAGGATGAGACAATAAATAAAATAAGAAAGACTTCATTTTTGGAGTTCACGCCGTTTTTGGAGTTCGTCTAGACTGATAACTGCCAACTAAAAGTTTGCCAAACTACAGTCTTGAACATCAATATAATGAAGACATGTTGAAGCTAATTGAAAGTCCCAACTTAGTGTATTTTAGCATTATAAATATCTCCAAACCCTCAGATATCTCAAAGTGTCTTCTCAGTCCCATCAAGTTCCAGATAATGAGGATTGTAAATTAATTTGCCCTTCAAAAGAGCAGAGCTCCATTTTACAACAGAAAATGTGACATAAAGACAAACATCTACTTTTGCAATTTATTTTATTTCTTATGTTGATTTAATTCTGATTTTGTGAAATGTGACATGTGAAAAAAGAATTCAGTTTTATAATTCTGTTTAATTAATAATGAGATTTTAGAACTATGTTATAATTTTAGTCTTTGTTTTAAGTTTGTTCAATTGTAAAACAGGGCCCAGTACTACAGTTCTCACGAAAGGTATAACTAGTACTACTTGTAACAGCTAGGAACCATTACAGATGTTCCCCAAATGGCCACCTCCTTCTTTGTTGCCCCATTCCCTAAGAGATTTGATGAGTCTGGCAATACTTTTGTATGATAAAACTTCTCACTTACTGTATCAAAGTACATCTTTCAGAGATGTAGCCATTTGAGTATTATGGAAAACTACATGAAAGTTATAGCCATTTACAACATTAGCCAGTAAGATTTCAGCTTGCATGTATGCATGTGTTTTCTTGATGAGTAGTTTTCAAAAGCTCTTGAAGACAAAAAAGTACCACAGATGAAATAAGAGACAAGATAAAAAACAATATGTTCCCAAACTTCATTTGGGGAACATAATGAATGACTATTGTGAAATAATATTAAAATGAGAATAAACTGGCAATTATCCATACAGAATTGATCATAAGGGGCCTGTCTTATAAATCCTACAAAGTACAGAAAATAAAAATTATCATAATTCAAGTCATATATGGCAAGAAATTAGTCTAGACTTTCACCTATATTTGAAAGGCTATGCCAGTGCCATGTCTTTGAAGGCAGACAGTGATGTTAAGAACAGCTTGTCCTCACTTCCTCCAGAGCTGATGGAGAAAATCTTTCTGCATCTGGATGTGGTGGACCTAGCAAGACTCTCCTGTGTTTGTGTGGCATGGAGGGAAATAGCCAATGTTGACCATATATGGTAGGTACATTGAGGGAAATAGCCAGTGTTGACCATATATGGTAAGTGATGGAGGGAAATAGCCAATGTTGACCATATATGGTAGGTACATTGAGGGAAATAGCCAATGTTGACCATATATGGTATGTACTGTACATTTAGAGAAACAGCCAATTTTGATGACCATATATGGTAAATGTATGGAGGAATCAGCCAATGTTGATCAAATATGTTAAGTACATGGAGAGAAATGTTGCATACATGCATATGGTAGATGTGTAAATTACAAAAGAATGCTAGGATTTTAAATATGTATATCATGAAATATAGCCTCAACAAATCACAAAATTGTACATCTTAAAAAAGCAGAGTTTCAATAATTGGGATTGAATTAAAATACTAAATTCACACAGTCTTGAAAAATGAAAGTTATATATAAATCATATACTGATTCTGTGCAGTCTGTTCTTATAGTCTGTTGTTTAACTCTATTCATCTTTTTAAAAATTAATTCTTAAGAAGAATTTTATTATCACTGTTTGTAGCAGAGTTAATTGAAGCCTATTCTGTTTGATCTTATTTAGGCTTCACCACTGTATGAAGAGGAAGTGGATGAGATTTGGTCTCCATGACAATATTCTCCAAGAATCTCCAATGTGTAAACCCCAGTCTAATGTATCCAGAACTTCTCCTTACTTCCAGCTATATGGTATTGGACAGTTGACGCCTACTTAATGGAATCTGTATTAATTTTATGTATTTTTGCCCCCTGGTTTTATGAAAGCAAGGGGATATTAAATCTCATTCGTCTGTCACTATGTCTGTCACAAAAACATTAACCTTGGTCATAACTTTTGAATGGGAAGAGATAGGGCTTTCATATTTCACAAGTACATTACCTGTAACAAAACTTTTTTTTTCAAATATACTATGATTTTTGACCCCATGACCTTGACCTTGAAGTTTGACCTACTTTTGAAAAATTTTAACATTTCTTTAAATCGATCGTAACTTTTGAATGACAGAAGATAGGGTTTTCATATCACATATATGTACATTACCTGTAACTTTTCCAAATATACTATGACTTTTGATCCCGTGACCTTGAAGTTTGACCTACTTTTCAAAAATTTTATCTTTGCTTATAACTTTTGATTAATAGGAGACAGGGCTTTCATATTTAACATGTGCATTACCTGTGGCAAGACCTTTCCAAATATACTCTGATTTTTGACCCTGTGATCTTGACCTTGAAGTTTGACCTACCTTTCAAAAATTTCATCAGTGTTAAATGTACTAACTTTTGAAGGAGTGAGGATAGGGCACTCATGTTTGATATGTGCATTACCTGTGACAAGCATTTCCAAATGTACTATGATTTTTAACCCTATGACCTTGAAACTGACCTAATTTTCAAAATTTTTAGTATTGCTGATAATTTTTGATTGAGAGAAGATATGGCATTAACATTTGACATTTGCATTACCTGTTTCAAGACCTTTCCAACTGTATACTCTGATTTTTGATATTTTTTCACATGTGCATTACTTTTGAATTGTATTATGATATTTGACCTCATGACCTTCATCTTGAAGTTTGATATAGTTTTGAGAAGCTATAATCTTTGCAGTAACTGTTATTAATTCAATAATTTATGTCTTTTTAGCTAACCTCAACAAAGTTGGGGGGAGCTTATCTGATACTGTCATTGTTGGCGTCCAGGTTAAAGTTTTTTGGTGCAGTTTTCTTTTTAAGTACTTTTATGCCCTATATTAATCAGAGATGCATGGAAGATGCTTCTAGTGTGTTTCATTGTACCAGTCAAGGTTTCAGATGCTGCAATTTCAGCTAAGGAATGACCAGGTTAATGTTTTTAGAGCAGGTTAAGGTGTTTGGAGCAGGTTAAAGTTTTTGGAACAGGTCTCATTTCCAATTAACTATAAGCCCTATGTTGACCAAACTTGTATGGATGATACATCTAAGGATGTACATTACCAGGCTTGCTTCGGATGCTGGATCTGACCTTCATTTTCTGGATGAGTGACCAGGTTAAAGTTTTTTAGAGCAGGTACATTTCTAAAGTAACTATAAGCCCTATGTTGACCAAGCGTGCAAGGATGATACATCTAAAGATGCACACCCAGGCTCATTTCGGATGCTGGATCTAACCTACATTTTCCAGATGAGTGACAAGCTTAAAGTTTTTGGAGCAGCCTCATTCTAAATTTTCTCTATTTTGACCAAACTTGCATAGATTATACATCTAAGGATGCACACTACTGGACCTGCTTCAGTTGGGGATCTGCCCTACATTTTCCAGATGAGGGACCAGGTTTAAGTTTTTGGAGCAGGTTCATTCTAAAGTTACTATTTGCTGTACCTTGACCAAACTAGCTTGGATGATACATCTAAGGATGCACACTACTTGACTTGCTTCGGATGCTGGATTTGACTTAGTTTCCAGGTGAATGACCAGGTTAAAGTTTTTGGTGCAGGTCCATTACCAAGAAATCATAAGGCCTATCTGAACCAAACTTGCATGGATGATGCATCAGGATGAACACTATTAAACTTGCTTCAGATGCTGGATTTGACTTACATTTTCTGGATGAGTGACTAGTTTAGTTTTTAGATAAGTCCATTCTCAAGTTACTGCAAGCCCTATCAGACCGAAATTGCATAAATGTTGTATCTAGGGATGCACAGTACTAGATTATTAGTTTAGTGTGGGACTTTCAGGGGTGTGCAATTAGCATCGCCCGACGCCCGGGGCTACCATTTTTTTGGGTCGGGCTAGTAGTTTTCTGCACGGAGGTAGCCCCTTGGGCTAGTAAAAATTAAAACTACCAATGTAATACATGAAAATCAATATCGGTATTTTCACTCATTTTTTGCTATTAAATTCTCAAGCAATGAAAAAAAATTTTTCGGCAGCATGCTCCCATTTTTGTAAATCTCCATAATCTTATCAATTTTGCAGTACCACCTGACTTATTTACTTTCAAAAAACGATCGCTTTTATCAAATCCGAATTTCCTCTATTCCTCTGTTTATGGTAAATACACATGCAGATATCTCATTAAATTATTTGCATCCACTTAATCAACTGAAAGATAAGTGTTATGTGGTTTACATAAAATATATTTCCAGCAAATTTAATGATTTAAGATGAAAAAAAAAATGATTTTCATTTCATTTTAGATAAGATAATTTATTTGAATTCATTTTTATTTACTATCATAATTATTTATTTATACATGATTTAATTTTACTAGTGAGAATTAAACTTAGTGAGAATTAAACTTTAATTTTAAAAGAATGACATTAAAACCCTGACTTTTTCAACGATAAACTATTTTCTTTTAATAATAGTTGTTAACCAACCCCCCCCAACCCCCCCCCCCCCCCCCCCCCCGGCCCCTACATTTGGGCTAATAACTTTTTACTTGGGGCTAGTAACTTTATTGCTGCCACTAGCCCGTGGGCTAGTGCTTAATTTTTTTTTTTAACTGCAAGCCCTATCAGACCGAAATTGCATAAATGTTGTATCTAGGGATGCACAGTACTAGATTATTAGTTTTGTGTGGGACTTTGCCTTACTTACAGACAACATTCGTTGAGGTGAGCTCTGTAATCTCTGATTACCTATGTTTTGTATAATGCACAGACAAGACAGGACACACAAACAAGACGGTAACAATATGCCATGAATAATAGCATCCCATCGACTAAGACACCAAAAGCGGGGGACCACAATTCTTTGATTTTGCTTGTTAATACTAATTTACTAGTCAAATTTCATACTTTATTATTGGTATGAGCTTCACAGTATTAATTAAATATGTTCATAGAACATAAATGCCTCACCAAGGGTTCATAAGTAATGCAACATGAAAATGTGTATTAGTGTGTGAAGTTTGAAGTTTGAAGTTTGACCATAAATAGTTTCTTTAAAACTAAGTTTAATACACAATAAATAATAAAATCAAATGTCATTGGGAAGGTCAATGTAAAAAAGGACAAAATTGATGAATCCCCACCAAATAACGTATCAGAATCCCCACCAAATAATGTATCAGTGCATAACTTTACATAAAGAAAATATCTGAAATAGTTTCTTTGAGCAAAAAAAAAAAAGAGGCAAATTTGAGAAAAGTGAGGTCATGGTCAAAGGTTGAAGTCATAAATGTTGATGATGTTGAATAACTTTTGTCAATATGGATCAGCATATGAAGTTTCATAAAAATATCTTGATTTGTTTCTGTAAAACTATGCTAAACACAAATTTGAAGTCAAAGGTCAAAGAAAAAGGTCAAGGTAAAAAAATTTGATGCAGTTGAATAGCTCTCATCAATATGTATCAGCATATTACGTTTGATTAAAATATCTTGAATATTTTCATTGAATCTAAGCTTAATACCATTTTAAGATAAGTGAGGTTGTTGTATTTAGTCTATGAAGTTCACGTAGAATTCCTATGCATGTATTTGTAACAACACTTTATAGTGTATATATAAATACTCTATTTTTAAAGCACTTTTTCAGTTCGAAAAACAAATTTTGAAACAGTGTATCAAAAATCATGAATTAAGTTTATGGCTACATTAATAGGTACCGGTATATGACTCTGGTGAGTGCTATGACCCACGAGCCTCTTGTAAATTAAAATTTGCCCTGTCAGAAGCAATACACCAGCCAAATAGCAAACGTCTGTCTCTCGCAATGCAGAAGATATAATGTAGAAGCACAAATTTATTTGGGGATAAAATTTTGTTGATTTGTCATCTAAAAAGGTTTAGTTGGCATTAAATTTTGTTGTTTGAAAAGAAGCTCTATTCAATATATAGTCAGACAATAATTCCGTGTGGGATTTAATTTCGTTGAAAATTGGTAACAACCAAATAAACGAAATTTTATCCCCAAGGAATATTTATGCTTTTACAGTATGATGCAGTATACATTCTAACAATATAGCAATTCCAAAACATGCAATAAGTCCACAAAATTTAATTAAACGAAATTTAATCCCCAAGGAATATTTATGCTTTTACAGTATGATGCAATATATAGTCTAATAATATAGCAATTCCAAAACATGCAATGAGTACACAAATTTTTTTTTTTGTCAGTTCCAAAGGAAACCAGACTTTCTCCAATTTGTCGATGGAAGAATGTGTTTATAAGAGTATTACACTTGTTCAAAAACTGGGAGAAAGGCCGATATACAATGCCAGTGACTCTCAAAGGACATCGAGACCAGGTCAAGGCCATTGACTGTAATAGTAAGTATGCCAAGGGCAGGTAGTAAACTTTGATATGTTTATAAGTAATGGGAGTTAGTTGTTTTTTATTGAGTTACGTAGAGCTCATTTAAAACATAGCATTACTTGTTTTAAGTTCCTACTTATTTAACTAAGACCTGTATATTGTTTCTATGTATTAGTTAGCTGATTAGGTTCATATATACTTCACAGAGACCTGTATTATTTCTGTATAAATTAATTTGTTTGTATTCTAGCCACTGATTGGTTAATATCCAAAAAGGAACACAAATTATTTCTGTATAACCTGGTTTGGTATGGGGACATACCCCCCTGACAACCAGCTGAATCATCTGTATCCATACAATCCTCTCATTTCCAGTCCTCGGGATTCATGGAAAATTCCAGATTTAATAAATGTACCTTTAACTTCAAACAATAATTTAATCTTACCACATGTAAACAAGCTGCTAGGCCTATGTATCGGTTTTTACCTCCCCTCGCTTCCCATCACTTCCGTTACTTCCGTTACTATGGTTGTATCAATGAGCGGCAAATTTGAACTAATAAAAAGCAATGAAATTTAACACCCATAGTTATTTAATGATTTTAAAATTAAATTGTAAGGAATGACTCTAATTCTTGGCCAAACTATTCGAGTATAACCAGGTTTGGGTCAGTTTACGCTGTTTTATAATCCGTTTCGCGGATTATAAAGCGTAAACTGACCCAAACCAGGTTATACTCGAATAATTTGGCCAAGAATTAGAGTCATTCCTAAAGTACCTGGTATTAAGTAGCTGATATCTACTTAACAGAGACCTGTATTGTTTCTGTGTATAAACTGCTGATATCTACTTCACAGACACCTGCATTGTTACTATGTATTAACTGGCTGATATCTACTTCACAGAGACCTGTATTGATTCTTTGTATTAACTGGCAGATATCTACTTCACAGAGACCTGTATTGTTTCTATGTATTAACTGGCTGATATCTACTTCACAGAGACCTGTATTGTTTCTATGTATTAACTGGCTGATATCTACTTCACAGAGACCTGTATTGATTCTATGTATTAACTGGCAGATATCTACTTCACAGAGACCTGTATTGATTCTTTGTATTAACTGGCAGATATCTACTTCACAGAGACCTGTATTGATTCTATGTATTAACTGGCTGATATCTACTTCACAGGGACCTGTATTGTTTCTATGTATTAACTGGCTGATATTTTCTTTAAACTGGCTGATATCTACTTCACAGAGATCTGTATTGATTCTATGTACCAGGGTATTAAACTGGCAGATATCTACTTCACAGAGACCAGTATTGTTTCTATGTATTAACTAGCTGATATCTACTTCACAGAGACCAGTATTGTTTCTATGTATTAACTAGCTGATATCTACTTCACAGAGACCAGTATTGTTTTTATGTATTAACTAGCTGATATCTACTTCACAGAGACCAGTATTGTTTCTATGTATTAACTAGCTGATATCTACTTCACAGAGACCTGTATTGTTCCTATGTATTAACTAGCTGATATCTACTTCACAGAGACCTGTATTGTTCCTATGTATTAACTGGCTGATATCTACTTCACAGAGACCTGTATTGTCAGTGGATCAGAGGATCACAGTGTTATTGTTTGGAGTTTGGAGAACTGCACAAAACTGAAAGAAATCAAAGTTCATTTGGATGCTGTTACAGCAGTAAAATTGAGGGTGAGGTTTCTTATTTTTTGTGGATGTTTCTATAAAGAATTATTTTCAAACATTCTTCATTCTAGAGTGCCAGAAGGTTATTTTCAATTCTGTATAAAGAAATTGAATCTTTTTTTTTACATTCTCAAGGGTAAGGGTATAGTATGTTCTGTTTTAGCTATTATTCCATGTTCAGCTTGCATGAAATACAAAAATCTCAATTAGAATGATATAGATTTATACAGCAAGTTTTGATAAGGTTCATTATAAATCTAATTTTCCAAAATTCAAGTCTGATGTCCATGATATGTATTCTTTGGGATTACATGTACTGATGTTCATCCCCTCAGAGAAATATGCTAAAACTTATCCATTTAAGTTCAGTATAATTTGACAGGACAGTGCTCTAATGACTTTTGATAACAATTTAGTTTTCCCTATGTTTTATGGCAGTATATTGGAGACAGGTTCTGCACACACTTCAGTTTTCTAACAACTTATGATGACAGCTTGGTTTTATTTTTAAAGGCAATATGCTAGTGATTGGTTGTGCAGACAGTTCTTTAGTGACTGGTGATGAGCTTGTTTTTTTCTCCCTTTTTTAGGGCAATATGCTAGTGACTGATGGGTAGACAGTTCTTTAATGACTAGTGATGACAGCTTGTTTTTATGCCCCCGCCATAAAATGGCCGGGGCATATAGTGTTACCCTCTTCTGTCATTCCATCATCATTGACTTTCTGTTCATTATCTTGGCAACAGTTGCACACATTCAACTCAAATTTGACATATAGATACGCAGCTCAAGTTAGAACTTAGTCAATGTCCAATGATTTTTGGCAGAGTTATGCCTCTTGATCTTAGGAAAAAAAAAGAAATTTTCAATTCACACTCTCTAACTTAATAAGGGATGTATATATAAGGTTGAAATTGCATGTGGAGGTATTTTACCAGAAAATAAGAAAATATAGGTCAAGTTTGAATTTGGTCATGGTCAGATGCTTTTTGACAGAGTAACCCCTCTTGAACTAAGAAAAAATAAGAAATTTTCAGTTTCTGCTCTCTAACTTTTGTAGGGATGTATGTATAAGGTTGAAATTGCATGTGGAAGTATTTTACAAGAAAATAGAGGTCAAGTTCAAATTTGGTTGTGGTCATATGCTTTTTGACAGAGTCATCCCTCTTAAACTTAGAAAAAAATAAGAAATTTTCAGTTTCCACTCTCTAACTTAATTAGGGATGTATGTATAAGGTTGAAATTGTATATGCAGGTATTTTACCAGAAAATACAGGTCAAGTTCGAATTTGGTTGTGTTCTGATGATTTCTGACAGAGTTATCACCCTTGAACTTGGAAAGGATTTAAAAATTCACAATTTTTAATCGCTATCTTGGCTACAAATGTGCAACTTACAATTTGCAATT